AATTGGTGTCAAAACTTTATATACCATTACTGTAGGGCAACTCCAGGTTAAACTTGAAAACACACTCTTCTAAGCCAAGAAAAGCTTGTCATAAGTCAGAATGATGGTGTATTTCTGAGATTTCCCATTTTCTCTGAATGTAGACAACACATAGGGCTAATATACATTAAAAGACAGTTAACCTCTTTCATGGTCAGCAAAGATGCCAATTAAATAAAGCAGTTTAGATCAAAACGGCACACCGAGCATACATACCTACCACCTCTCCCTCCAAATTCTATTGAAATGACAGCAGAGTTAAAAGCTAGACGATGTATAAAGCAGTGGAGAACAAAAAAGTCACCATGAACAGACCAGAAGTGCAGAGGAATTTATGGAATACAGAAAGCAGAAATAAAGGACAGAAAGATAAAAAAATGAAAGGGGGTTGATGGAGAAGTAAGACTGGAGATAACCGCAGTTTAAGAAACAATGAAGAACTGAATCACTTTGCTATGCACCTGAAACTAGCATTGTAAATCACCACACTTCAGTAAAAATTGTTAAAAATAAGTAAGTAAAACAAATTCGGCAGAAGCCTGCCTCAGAGGTGGCAGTAATTCTAGGCATGCCTGGAGCTTAGAGATGGCCAATACGAAGGGTCTGGAAAGGGCAGCTGGGTAATTATCTGACCATGCTAAATGTCAGAAAATCTCAAAGCAACACCTGTAGACCTCAGAAGAGGTAGTCAGAATACAGTCTTTGGCCCACGCAAGCCCACCTTCATGTAGAAAGGCAAAATAAAAAATATGTGGGAACACGGAAGTACTTAGAAAGTGGACCATCACCAGATCTACTCTAAAAGGATGTCTCATCTTCTCTTACACATTTAACAAACACCGGTGAGCAAAGAAGCCAATGAAACTTATGGATAATGTGTATGTTTAAAAAATCGCTTTATGACTTCAACAAAAAAAGAATTAAAAATTGTTTTATGCCACTGAATTGTACACTTAAAATGATTAAAATGGCAAATCATATATATATATATATTTTTTAACGACAAATTTTTAAAAAGCCCAATTGTTTCTAACCATAGACGGAAGGCACCCAGAGGTGAAGGGTAGGTAGAAATGAAGGCTTGCTAAGATTTTTTTCTTCAGGAGAATAATACATACATAGATTAACTCTAAACACTAATCTTAGAAGTCAGCCAATCTTTTCTCTGAAGGGCCAGACAGGAAATACTTTTGGCTTTGCACATCATACAGTTTGTGTCCCAACTGCTCAAATCTGCAGGTGTAGCAGGAGAGCAGCCACAGACAATATGTTAACAATGGATGTGGCTGCGTTCCAATAAAATTTGTTCCAATAAAACAATATATACATGTGTTTTAAATATCCTTGTTACATTTCACAGAACATTGTAAAATGACTATTACTCAATTAAAAAATGTTAAAAAAATTAATAACCTTGTTACAAATATAAGGTAATAGAAATGTGTAAGATCTGTATGAAGAAACTATTAACATAGACATAAGCATAGAAATGCTATTCCAGGAAGAAGGAATAGCCAGTGCAAAGGTCCAGAGGTGGGAATGCAGTCTGGTATGTTTGTGAACAATCAGAAGGTGATGAGGCTGGGGACATGGAGGAAGGAGGGGTGAGGGTAGAAAATTAAGTTGGAAAGCTGGCCAGGAGCCAGATCTCAGAGGCCATGGTAAGGCAAGGGCTCTGGAATTGATCAGTAAAGAAAGTTGATCTTCATTGTATAGCCTTATCATTCTACACACCAGCGTAACCAGGAACTGGTCCGGGAACTAGCCAGGAAGAAGCAATAAGAACACAACTTGGGTAGTTTCATACTTTATAAAAACTTTGGGGTCACCTCTAGCACATACAGTGCTTTTTGTGGGAGCCAGTGAATTGCCAAAAGGGCTCACTCCATCTCCATTTGGGTTGCTGAATTATAAAAACGCACCTCTTCCTCCTGGCTGATTCAGTGGGTACTGGGAATCTGATTCAGTTTGACTCCTGGGAATACTGGATGATATCAGCCCTCACACAACTCCTTAGCCAAGAACATTTGTGCAGTGCACAACCGGCGCATCTGTATACCTCATACCTGAGAACTGTGTTAAACCTCAGGCTGGGAGCAACTGGGAAAGATGAGACATTTCTCTGAGCAAAAGGCATATGTACTCAATAGCTGTATTTTCTCAAGGCCTTTTGGATTTGGGGGCTATTAACCCACACCATCAAAACATACTTTACTCCTGAAATTCTTTCTGGAAAACAGAACTTTGAGACTGGAGCGTAACCCTTTCTAGCTCGCATTCCATTTCCCTACTTGAAGAGGGAGGCTGATGTGGGGAGAGACAGCCACACCCACCGGATCAGGAGGATGTAGACTTCGTGCCTCGGCATCTCGTAGCGCTCCACCAGCCTGAACATGGAGTAGAAGCGAGGCACAGCCAGGTTGATGCAGGACACAACGAAAGGCAGTAACAGCACCGCCCCGGGTTCCCTGTGGTTCTCCAGGAACTGCAGGGGATGGAGGGAGAGAATCAAATTGCTGACTGTGCACTGGACCCCTCTCTGCCTCAGAAGACCACCCCCCATGATGTGAAGTAGCTCCTCTGAGGTTAGCTATTAAGGTACCACTTGTCCAGCACTTATCCTGAGCCAAGAACTACCCACATGATTGCTGTAATCCTCACTATACCCAGCTGGTGTTAACAGAATTAACTGATGGGCAACCTGAGGCTCAGAGAGGTGAAGATGCTTGCCCAGGGTCACTCAGCTAGGAAGTGGCAGATTCAAACCCAGGTGCATCCGACTCAGGGGTCTGAGCTCCAACAGTCATCCTGTGACTTCACTTTCTTCACTAAAAAGTCTGGGAAAATGCGAATGTGCTCTTGGTTGTTGGAGCAAAACCTTGATCTACTGAAGCTATGGCACAAGAGCACTGATCACCGTGGAATTTCTCCTCCCATCTCCTGTGTGCCCTTGTTCACTTCACCAGGCTTCGCCTATCCTTGGATGCTGAGGGGACGGGGAGCCCTGCAAGCCCATGCTGCACCTTTGCATCCGGGCTAGAGAAGTGCCCCTGCCTTTATGTGGACACCACGCTGGCGTTTGGCTGGAGTGAAGCCTGGGCTGCCGCTCCGCCAGGTGGCCTTGGAGTAAGAGATTCCAGGGGATTTACCTGATGTCCCATGCCCCATTCCCCATTCCCCACTCCCAGGCCCTGACCCTGCCTCCATCCACCTCTGGATGGGTTGAAAGCACTACTCTCACTTTGGGCCGCATCTTTGGAGCCAGAGTAACCTGGGTTCAAATGATGCCCCCTCCCCATGCTTATAAGCCACAAGGTCTGGAGCCAGACGCATAGTTTCTCTGAGCCTCTTTCCCCATCTGTGGGATGGGGAGATTATCATGTAACCCACAGAGATGTGGCAAGAATTAAGTGAAACCAAGTAAGGGAAAATCTGGCCCCAGGGCTGCTAAACAGCACAGCTGGGGGCACCCTTCATGTGAAATGGTAGTTGCCAGTGAATGTGAGCCTTGGAGCTGGCAGAAGGCTGATCCCACCTGGCACAGGGCAGATGTTCAAACAATGGGCAATTGTTCAAACAATTCCATCAGTTCACAATACTTACTGAGTAGACATTCGGTGCCAGGGCCTATGAGAGGTATTAGGGATATAATAATAAAGGAAGAAACCAGAACCAGATCCCAAGTCCACGGCCAAAGTTCCCATCTCTCTGCCAGCCCAGAGCTTCCCACTCTAAGGTGTGCACACACATCACCTGGGGATGTTTCTAAGATGCAGATTCTGAGTCCGTGGGCCAGGAGGGAGGGACCCAGGATTCTGCATTTTTTTAGCAAGCTTCCCGCTGGTGCCGATGCTGCTGGCCATGGACATGGCTTGAGTGGTGGGCTCTCCGCCACTCTCCCACTCCAGCATCCTGTCCCATCACCTGCTTCTCTATGCTCTGTACTCTGGAGCTCCTGCCTCCCTGGTTACCTTTGAGTTGTTCTCAGCCAGGTAATAAACAGCTACACAGCAGGCAACGGCCACCCCAGTGGAGACAACCCAGGCTGCCAGGTGGGCACAGAAGCGGGCCAGTTGCTGATTGAGTGTTAACTTGATGCTCTCCTGACGGATTTCTGACAGGTTCTCCTGTAAACACAAGGAAGTCAAGTTCACCCACAGACCTCTTCCACTGTCAGCAAAGATCCTCCCTACTCAGATAAATACTCGCTGTTCCCAGAGACACACATCCACAGGAAAGAGGGTGGGGGAAGTTCACGATAAACTTGGATTAGGAGACTGGGGGGAACTCTCAAATGGGCAAGAACCCCCATCACCTCATTAAACACCATTTCCATCTCAGAGGAACAGAGATGCTCTTGGGGTCACAGACCGAGGTCACAGACCCTGCTTGAAGAGTAAGGCCAGGTCTCTATACCGGGGAAGAAGTTAACGTATGCAATCATCTTGTCAAAGCCACTTTGTTTATAAATTCTGCTTGCTTTTTCTAAAAAAATATTTTTTTCTATAGACCAGGGTTTCTCAACATTGGCACTATTGACATCTCAGCCAATAATTCTGTGTTGGCGGCGGGGGCTGTCCTGTGCACTGCAGGACATTCAGCAGCATCCCTGGCCTCTTCCACCCACTAAGTGCCAGTGGACACCTGCTCCCAGTTGTAAGCACCAAAAAAGCCTCCAGATGCTTCCTTATGTCCCAAGTTGCAAACTGCCCCGAGTTGAAAACCACTGGATAAAATTTTAAACCTGGAACTGTGAGGCCAAGATAAAAAAAGATCAGGATACAAATTGCCAAACTGCCCTCCAGCAAGCTTGTACCAATAACAAAGCCACCATGTCACGTGAAAATGTCCATTTCCCTACACCATCACCAGCCCTGGGCATTTAAAGTATTTTTAGTTTTGGATTTTTTTCCCCAATGTCATGGGGAATAAAAAGTAATTCATTATTACTTTACGAAAAGCTACAGACATCCTGAAGGTGGAAAGAAGACTGGTCTTGCAGGGGCAGGATGAAGCTAAGTCTCCTTACCCTGATCTCTGTGCTCAGATTCTTCTGTTTCAGCTTTACAGCACTTTGGTGAGTGACGGTGAAGTCCCAGCAAAAAATGAGTTTAGCAATCCCTCTGGAGTAAATGTGGGGGTTAATGAAGTTGTTCCGGAAGTACCTGGCCATGCTGGGGAAGGCAAAAACCAGAATACCCAAAGGTAACTAGGACAGGCATGGGGAGTGCAGGAATTAAAACAAAGGAAAGTCTTACCATAAACAGTGAAAGGCAACATGGAAGAGTTAGCCCCGAGTTCTTCTGGAATAGTGCAAAGCAAATATAATAGTTAAGAGCACTGGCTTTGGGATCTATAATCCTAGATCACCAGCTGGGGAGTTTTGTCATTTTAACTGTTCTGACCCTCAGGTTCCACATCTATATAATGGGGGTAATAACAGTTCACACCTCACAGAGTTATCGTGAGAGTTGTGTTAGTTTCTCCGTGCGGCTATAACAAACTGCCCCAAACTCACTGGGTTAAAATAACACATATTTATGCTTCCTGGAGGTCAACAGTCAGAAAATGGGTCTAAAATCAAGGGAGTGGCAGAGCTGTGTTCCCTCTGGAGGCTTCAGAGGGGACTGTTCCCCTGCCTTTTCCAGCTCCTAGAGGTTGCCTGCATTCCCTGGGTTTGTGGCCCCTTCCATCTTTAAAACCAGGAGGGTAGCAACTTCCACTCTCTCTCTCTCTCTGACTTTGATCCTCCTGCCTCTCACTCTTAAGTAATCTTGTGACTGTACTGGCCCATTTGTAGATCCTTAACTTAATCACATCTGCAAAACCCCTTTTGCCAGGTAAGGCAGCACACTCACAGGTTCTGGGGAGCAGGACTTGGACACCTCTGAAAGGTGGGGGGCACTACTCAGCCCACCACAAGAGCCAGTGCAGCACTTAGCGCAGTGAGCACTCGACAAAGGCAGCCGTTACTACCACGGAGATGTCAGCGGGGCTCCGTGAAACCAGGCCCAGGAAGGACTTGGTACTGAGCCTGGCCTGTAAAAAGTGCTCAGTAAAAGGAACACTACCGTCCCAAAATTTGCCACCACTGGATAATACCAGCTTAAGAAACAAGTCCTAGTTTGATCGGACAAAACAAAATCTTGTTTTATTTTGGATTATCGTGCTGGCAGTGAGGTTATTATGGGCTGAACTGTATCCCTTAAAAATTAATATGTTGACATTCTAATCCCTAGGACCTCAGAAAGTGACAGTATTTGCAGATAGGGTCTTTACAGAGGTAATTAAGTTAAAGTGGGCCTTAATCCAAATAGTTGGTGTCCTTCTAAGAAGAGGAAATTAAGGTGCATTCACTGGAGGGAAGATCACGTGAGGACCCACAAGAAGGTGGCCATCTGCAAGCCAAGGAGAGATACCTCAAAAGAAACCAGCCCTGCTGGCATCTTGATCTCGGATTTCTAGCCTCCAGAACCTGAGAAAATACATTTCTGTTGTTTAAGCTCCCCAGTCCATGACTTTACAGAGATAGAACATCGTACCTCCTCTTTGACAATTGTCAATTGACGGCTGTCCATCATATTGGCTGAGTCATTGCATCTGTATTTTCAGAATGACCAGTTTCTTTAAAAGCACCTGAAAACCTCTCTTCCTCTAATCAAACAAGGAACGATCAGATAGCAACTGAAAGTTGAACTTGCAGAGAAACCGTTCCCCAGGTAACTTTTGAGTCTCTTGAATTTTGCTTAGATCTAAAAAAAGAGCTTAGAATCAGGAAATGCAGACACGCCATACCTGAACAGCAAACTGAAAAAGCAGATGACCAAACACACTCCGACTGTGAAGATGTAGGCCAGCTGCATGTCGTAGGATGCCCCACCGTTCCCGTGCCGGATCGTAGAGTTGGTGTAAAAGCCGTAGTACATCACTGTGTCACTAAAATAACCCTGAAAGGCACAGTAAACGCTAGATCAGGCGGGTGTCTTGAGAAAAAAATGAATGACTATGGCCCGCACAGTTGACCTCTTCCGTTATGCGAGAAGCTTGCACCGGTCAGTTTAGACACTTTCTTTGCAAGAAAGTGGCACCCAAGGCCACTGAGAACCTAGACGCTTTATCATGAGGCTCTTAGATGTGCAAAGGACTCTCAAACCAACATAACTTTACAATGGAGGGACCCAGCGGTCACACCCTGGACCCGGTGACCAAGCATGGAAGCATAGCCAAAAACAAGACAGCCAGCTGTTACATGCCTCTGTCATCTATCATAAGCATTATGGTCAAACATGTTTAAAATGAAAAAACATCAAGCCTTTACGTCTAAATTTCAATTTACAGGAAATAAGAGGCCTGTATAAATTAGAGGAACAAATTAGGGAGACCCTGGGGAAACAATCAGACAAGTGCAGGAGGTAGGACATTGGAATCTGCCTGACAGCTGGCCTGGTTTCTGCAACAACAAGCCAATGTCAAGAAAAAAAGGCGCAGGGACTCTGGGGAGACCATTCTAGATTAACAGAGGCTTCAGAGAAAAACAACTGAATGCAAGGTGTGGTCTTTGCTTGGATCCTGGTCTGAACAAGAAGCTAAGAAAGACATTTTGGGGACAACTGGGAAAATCTGAATGTGACCTGGAATTTAGACATTAACTCTTCACATTCCTGGGTGTCATAATGTATAGTGACTGCAGAAAAGGGTCCTTATTGCTCAGAGATGCACGTTAAAGACACTGAGCCAGATACGTTCTGATGTCTGATATTTACTGTAAAATGCTTCAAAAGATGATAAGCTAAAACAAATTTGGCAAAATGCTAACAATTTAAAATCTATGTAGTGGGTCCATGGGTGTTTATTTTACTACCCTTTATTTTCCTATAACTTCGAGAATTTTCATAATAAAATGTTTCATATATACAAAAACACAAAATAGACATAATAATGAGAAAAAATGAAGGAGAAATGGACACAATTGCATTTTAATGCATCTATTCCAAGGGAAAAAATTTTTTTAACAACAACAACAAAAAGAGAAATGGATGAACTTCACTTTGAACATTCTACTGCGATAGTCAGCAAATTTTTTCTGTAAAGAGCTAGATAGTAAAGGTCTTTGACCTGACGGGCCCACAGCCACTCAGCTCCGCTGTCTAGTAGGAAAGCAGCACGGATACATAAACAAATGGGTGTGCCTATGTTCCAAAAGAATTTGATTTACAGGCACTGCAATTTGCATTTCATATAATTTTCATGTTTTACAAAATGTGATTCTTCTTTCCATTTTTTTCCAACTACTTAAAAACGTAGAAATGAATCATATTTTGCAGGCTATACAGAAACAGGTGGCAGGCCAGATTCACCCCTTGGGCTGTAGTTTGTCCATCTACAGAATCTCAATGGTGGAAATCTCTTCTAGAAAGTAAACTCACAAGGCAGGGGCTATATGCTTCATAGGGAGCTGGGTAAATACACTGTGGTTGTTATTAAAAAGAATAATGTGGATGCATGTCCATGGTCTAGATACAGAGTAAAGCAAAAAATGTTGCAAAGCAAGACTTATTACATCCTATCCTCTTTTTGTTTCATTTTTTAAAAATGTTTAACTATCTATCTAGCTATATATCTAGGTGTATCTATATATCTATCTATGACTGTACAGGAAAAAAAATGGTGCACAAAGATACACTCCAAACTGGAGAGTTAGTAACAAACTTTCCTTAGTTTGTTCTCTCCTAAGCTAGGATTATTTTTTTTAAGGAGCATTGTATTTTGCAGAAAGAAGCATAAAAAAGAAAGAAAAGGTAGGTCCATGAACACTAGTATGAGATGTCAACACATCTTAGGTGGAAGAAGGCAAGTCAGATGTAGTATACAAATAATTCATTTTTGTTTAAAAAGATGCATATGTACATGTATAATGTGTCCATATGTATGCAAAGGAGAGGATTCTGGGCAATAAAAACTGTTAACCTGTGGTAACTCTGGTTACCTTGGGAGACAGAAATTCTGCTACACTGTGTATACGTTATTTGGGGGTAAAGGAAAACATTTTAAATCCCCACTTTCCTCGTTGTCTCTCAGGCAAAATGAGAGGCTTGGAAGTGTAACTGGCAGGCGTGAACGTGGGTTTCCGAGATGGTGAACTCTGGATGGGGAAGATGGAGAACTTACCGCCCCGGTTAAAAATTCCAGTCCAGTGAATTGGAGGTTGTTCTTTTCGGCCACAGTTAACTGAGGGATTATGATGAAGCTGAAGGTCACAACGAACGAGAAAATGTTGAACTTCAAAAGCCACCTGAGAAAGTTGAAATAGGAGAGGACGCTGGTGCCGAACTTGCCTCCGATGACCTTGAGTGTCTTCTGCCACAGGCTGATGGAACTGAGCAGCTCTGACAGGCTGCTCTTGGCTCTCCGGTACGCCTGGGGGTGGGTAGACACAGAGTGTGCGGCGTGACAACCCCTCAATAAATGTCTACTGAGCAGGTCTCATAATAGCAACAACGGCCGCCGTTTCCAGAGCGGTTCCACGCGCCAGGCACCGTGCCAAATGCGTTTATAAACGTTATGTCCTTTAAACTGCAGGACCACCCCCTAAGGTGAGTGCTATTATTTATTACCTTCCCAGGTTTGCCATTGAAAGTGACACTTGCAGTGGCTAAGTTGCCCAGATAACGCAGCAACCTCTTAGACCTGCCCACTCCTACCTGGCGTCCCCCTGCACCTAGACTGACCCAACTCCTACATCTTTCAGTGAAAGAGCCCTGATTTGGTTCCTCTTCCCTGTGGGTCCCCTCTCACCCGCACTCTCCCACCTCCCTGCCTTCACCCTACGCTGTGCCCATTTCTTGATCGCAGTCAGGACAGACTTACCAGGGCAATGGAGCTCAGACCCTGAGCACAGCAGTGGAAGTCCAGGACACCACGAGGCTGCTTGCTTTTCTCCCTGTCAACCATTTTCCTGTGGGAAATGGTAGAAGAAAAGTGAGAGACACCAATGCTGTAATCATTCATTCCCCAAATATTTCCTGAGCGCCTGCAATGTGCCAGGCACCGTCCCAGTTGGTGAGATAGAGATGGATTTCCTTAGCTCATGGAGGAGACATCCCAGTTGGAAGAGAAAGAAAATAAACAATAAATATACTAAAGTGGGTGAGTGGTACTGGATGATCGAAGGTGATGTATACTACGGGAAAGAAAAAGGGAAAAACAGAGCAGAGTAAGGAGATGAGAAATGCTAGGGTGAGGACCATGTTACAGTTTGGGATGGCGCCATATTTGAGCAAAGTCTTGAAGGAGAGGAGGGATTATAACCGAGGAAGACCCTATGGAAACTGCCCAAGATAGACTCCCCCCACATCATGTCCTCTGCCTGCCTCTTATCTATAGAAAACCTTTAGCCTCCAAGGTCTTCCCTGAGTTCCAAAGAATACATTTAATCTGAGAAGTGAAAAAATACAGAAAGAAAGGAAAACAGCCAAATAAGACACAATAGTAATAGTTTAGCCAATAAATAAAGTCAAGGACATTTAGTTCCTCCTCAAAGGCTCTAGATAATAATCTGAGCCGTGTCCTTTGAGCTGTTTTGCAGATACAGAAAACCCCACAGGTGGAAGAAGTTAGCTGTATCCTGCGCACAGGCACGTGGTCCCCAGGCTGGTGGGAACCAGAAGGTCAGTGATGTTGGCTCCTGATTACCTCACCTCCCACCAATCAGAAGAATGTCCATGAGCTGATCACGCACTCCACAGCCCTCCTCCTTCACCCTGTCTTTAAAAACTTTTCCCTGAAAGCCATCGGGGAATTCAGGTCTTTTAAACACCAGCTGCCTGGACTCCTTGGTTGACGCCCTGCAGTAAACACTACACTGTCCTTCACCACAATCCTGTCAATGGAGTGGCTTTACTGCACTCAGGCAGGCGGACCCAAGTTTGGTTGGTCACTGGGTTAGTCTATGGATAAGGGAATGTCTGGAACAGCCAATAAGAAGCCCCAAGGAGGCCAGGATGACTGGAATGGAATGAGCAGGGGGCAGGGTGAAGAGTGGAACAATCATGGGTGGGTGGGGGGTCCTGCAAGTGAGCAGCTCTCAACCTGGGAGATTTTGCCCCCCCAGGGACACTTGGCAATGTCTGGAGACTCCACTGGTTGTAAAACTGGGGACAGAGCGGGTATCTCTGGCATCTAGTGAGAGAGACCACAGATGCTACTACACACCTTACAATGCACAGAGCAGCCTCCACAGCACAGAATCACCCAGCCCCAAATGTCAGGCTGCAAACCGTGCTGTGACGTCTTTTGGGCCATCATAAGGCCCTTACTCTGTGACAGAGGGAGCCGTGCAGAGTTTGAAAGAGTGTTTTCAGAAAGATCTATCCGTGGTCAGTCTCTCTACCTTTCCATGAACTCATCACATCTCCTTTGCTCTGGCCCTTCCCTGGCTCTATCTGGTCCCCCACAAAGGCCCACCCCCACATCACCATCTTCCAAGGCTCAGCTCAGCTGTCCTCCTGTTTTGCTCAAGCAGATTGTTATCTTTTCTTCTAGTCCTCCCACTGCCATCTCCTTCTACCTTGGTGTGGCCGGATTTTCTTTCTGTCATTTATAAATTACTTGTTGATCAATCTGTCTCCCTGTCCAGACTTTCAAAGTTAGCTTTGCAACCTCAGAACAATTGCATTGTTGGATTATTTGTTAGCAATTGTATCCACTCTACTCGTTTCTGCCAACTACTACAAATTGCAAAAGGAAAAAGAAAGGGTTGAGGAAACATAAATGTAAGAAGGTATGAAGGCTTAAACACCTCCCATTCTTGTTTTTGGACTTCTGGGGTTAGTTAGAAAGCTGCTGGGGTTGTGTCGTCTTGGAATTTTGCTTTCTTTTTTTTTTATGAGTATTTTGAGACATACAGAGAAGATACCAAAAAGAGTACAGAAACGTCCCATCTACTGCTCAGCATTTCATTTCCCCACTAACATCTTACATTTCCATGGTAGATTTGTCAGAACTAAGAAACCAGCATTGGTGTATTACTTTTTCCTGAACTCCAGGCTGTTCTGATTTTATTAGTTTTTCCACCAATGCCCATTTTCTCTTCCAAGACCCATCCACGATACCACACTGCATTGGTTGTCCTGTCTCTTTAGAACCCTCTAGTCTGTGACCGTTTTTCAGTCTTTCCTTCTTTTTGATGACCTTGACAGTTTTGAGGAATACTGCTCAGGTACTTTGTAGAATGTCCCTCAATCGGGGTTTGCCTGATTTTCTTCTCTGGGTAGACTGGGGTTGCAGGTTTTAGGCGAGAGTACCACAGAGGGGGAGGGTGTCCTTCTGATCACGTGACTTAATTCTAGGGATGCTAACCTTGACTGATCTTGAGGTTTGCATGAAATCATGGGCAAGAAGAAAAGCTTTTGGTCCATACCTAAGGTTCCTTTTTTCTTCCATGGTCCTTGGCTGATTCCTGATGGCTTTAATTCTGTCTCTAGATGTCATGGGTATCAGTGATGCGATTAACTTTTGTCCTGCAGACAAAAAATAAATGGAATTTATTTTCCCTTTAGCAGAATAATGGCATTTTAAAATATGGTGCTGAAGATAGAGCATGTTTTTATAAGAGAACAAGAAGAATATATGGGCTCAGTGATCCCAAAGCTCACAAGCAAAAAGAAGAAGACAGCATGAGGATGTGTTAAATTTCGGAAGCAAAGCAAATGGTCGTTTGCATGCAGTTCCAATTTAGTGGTTTCCTTTTTCTGGTGACAAGAAACATTTAGCAAAGCCAGTGAGACCCAGAGCATTTGGTCAGTCTGGCTCTCCTGCCTCTGCCATGTCCCCATGGCTTTCTCTCGCCCCCTGTACTCCAGACCCAAGCATCTTCTTTATGTTTCTTGACTGTTGTGTTATGTTCTTCCCATCCAGAAACGACTCCCACCCACATTCTCCCAATAACTCAAATTCACATTCTGGGTCAGCATGGCAGATACTGTTGGTCTCCTACCCCAAAGTCATATGTCCTTTTTAATAGAATCCAATTTTGTTTAGGAGTCTACCCCCCTCCCATGGCTTCCATAGGGTGGCACCCATCTCCAGGCACAGGGGACGGTCCCAGTGAGTCCAGGCCTATCCTGATGGTCCCGGCCCCCTTGCGGGTGAACGATTTTGGCCCAGGCATGTGATACGTTGACCAATGTTCTGTGAGGGGTGGTGAGCTGAAGAGTTTCTTAGAAAAGGTTTCTTCCTTCTCAAAAAGAAAAAAGCAAAACTCAAAAAACAAGGAAATGACAGATCCTTCCTCCTGTGTGTCACATGTGCCACATTCTGTACCAGTGAGGGAAGCAGCTGGGGGGGCCGGCTTGGACAGTGACAGGGGAGTGGGCTGGCCCCCCGGTCCTGTCCTTGAGTGAGACACAATTCCTCGTTTTAATGAGGTAGTTGAGGTGGAGGGAGAATCCGCCGAAGAGGGCCACCAAATCACTCAGCTGGAGATGAGGACTTTGTGTTTTTCCTGAGAAGGAAGTGAGGACAGACAGAGGGGAAGAGGAGGAGGGAGGAGGGGAAAAAAACAGAAATTCGGGGAGACAGCAGCTTGAGAGGAGACACCCCCATCTTCAATAAAAGAGCTAAAGCCACAAAATGCTTTGATGTGAATGGATTTTTTCCCCCTCTTAGAAATCACTGACAGCAGCTGGCCTTTATGCCTGGAGTATTATGGGATGAAACAGAAACAGCATCCAAGAAACCAGTGTTTGGCATCAGGAGCAGAGAGGCAGGGAGGGCTCAGCTAAGACGTGATTTCACGGCAGACTTGACAATAAGAGGCATCCGGTGCTGTCCAGTCCGGGGTGGGGAGGAAGTGGACCAAAGCAGGACAGGACAGCGGTTACGGCGTCAGGCTTGGGAACCAGGCAGATCTGCATTTAATCCCAGATCTGCCACATCATTTAATTTCCCCGAGCCTCAGTTTCCTCATCATGCACATGGAAATGATAGGCATGCCTGCCTCACAGGGGTGGAGTGTGGGGAGTAACTAAAAGTAAATTGGATGGATAACAGAAAGTCAGGACATCAGGCACATGAAACTAGCCTGATCAAGATAAACTCCTTCTTCGGGATTATGTGCTCTCACAGTGACCCCTTCCTGGGTCTCTAGCATCCTCAGGTCATCTACCAAACCTTCAACCTACTCGACGTCTTAAAAACCCAGAGCCCTGTGGACAGCTTGGAAGACGCCGCTGCTCCTGTCCTAACTTTTCTGGCCCCGTGTCTTACTACCTTGGATGTTCTCATGTGAAGTCCGAGGGGTGTCTAAGCTCAAGCTTCCCAAGCTGTGAAGGGTCTGAGAAAACGAGTCATTCATAGATGTTGAAAACTGGAACAACTGCTTTCTTTTTCTGTCATGCCGATTGCTGAGAACCTGAGAGTCGGTCACGTCGGTGTCAGAAACGGAGGAGATGAGGCTGAAGCCTGAGGTCACCAGCATCTTGCCTGGAAAAATCTGATTTGAAGATGGACGTCTTTGGACCCCAGATGGGACATTCTCAACCTCGATGACGATTTCATTCACTTGGTCATCAGATAGCATCTCTCGCCTCTTCCAAGCCTCAGTCTCCACTGGGGTGGGCTTCCCAAGACCTCATACGGCAGTCACACTGGCATTGTCGGGAACCGCCAGGAAAAGTGATCGCAGTCACCAAGAACCGCCCCATGCACAGATTTTAACGCCAGGATGAGATCGACAAAGCCAGTGCCACACAAATCACAGCACAACTCCCCGCACCCACACCAGAGGGTCTCCTCGCAAAGAGGCCTGCTTTCCTGCAGAGACATCTGTCCCAGTAGCTAGGCAACAGAATTCTTTGTTAAAGGCAGTGGGATTCTAGAAACAGAAGGTAGAGATTCTTCTCAATGACTCATAATCAAAGGGCGGGATTTGCTTTTCAATTTGGTGCCTCTGGCCTAAAACTTCTATGTTTATAATTGTACATACCTGTGTAAATCCAGATGGGTTTATAAACAATTATCTCCTGACTGCCTTGGGCGGCCACCCCGCTATCTGTCTGCCTCTATCTAGCCATGGGATGGCCATGTCTTTTTTCCTATCTAAAAATGATTGGTCCACGTGCAGGTATGTGCCCCAAATGGGGCTGGACAGTGTCTTTCCTCAGCACTGACTGATAGGCCCAGGGAGAAAGGAAAACTTTGCAATGAGATTGCTGAGCTGAGTGTATGCCTGGTCCTGCTACTGGCCATGCTCCCAGGCCTGCAGAGAAGGCCTGACTGGGGTTAAGATGAATGAGGTGAAGCTTTAAGAGATGCTGAATCAAGCGCAGATGACAAATAGATGGAGGAAAAGAGAGTCCAGGTGGCATGGAGCCGTCGCTTCAGACTCAGAGGCCCTGGTTCCCATAATTCATTCAACAAGTATCTTTGAGCACCTACTATGCACCAGGCACCATACTAAGTGCCAGATGGTAATTCTAGCTTCAATTCTTTGTTTCCCCATGTCCTTTGCACCACACAAGTCTTGGGCCGGTGTGATTTGGGTTTCTGTTACTTGCAACCAGAAGAATCTTCATGGAGACACCTTGCTATCCAGAAGGGAAAAAACTCTGATGTCTACAAGAAAACCCCACTGTGATACATTCAGGAAGGAGAGAATTAGTTATCACACCGGAGGCCAAGAGGAACGGCAATGTTTGCATTGCCTTGAACATGTTTTTTAGGGTTGATTTGGGGGTCACTGTCCATTTAAGCCTTACCTTGGGGTGACTTGAGCCAATCACATCCAGACAAGAGTGGGTCTCTGTAAGCTTGACCAGGGCTGTCATCACCCACATAAGCAGGGTTCACTGGAACGAAGACGTGGGAGACATCGCCAGTTAATCCCACCACACTAGATATGACTGAGCACAGAACGGTCAGTAAGAGTTGTTAACGGGTCACAACTCAGCGTTTGAAAAATACCTGCCTGTGGGGTGGAGGGATGAAGACAGAATTCAGAGGGGTTTGAGGCAGCAGAAATACACTCAGTGACACCATAATGATGGATATTTGTCAAACCCATAGAATGTCACACCACCAAGAGTGAACCCTAATGTAAACTGTGGACTTTGGGTGATAATGATGTGTCCATGTAGGTACAATTGTAACACATGTGCCACTCTGGTGGGGGACCCTGATATTGGGGGAGGCCATGCATGTGTGGGGCAAAGGGTATGTGGGGAAATCTGTTTCCTTCCCTTCGATTTTACTGTGAACCTAAAATTTCTTTTAAAAAATAGTCTTAATTTGAAAAAATAAGCCAAAGAAAGCTTGTCTAGATGATTACAAAGCTTCCTTCAATTTCTAGAATTTTATGATGATGCATGAATTCATTTGAAATTTGTCATGATTTTCTTAGGGACAGAGTCCACTCAGCATCTACAAGAGTGTCACAATTCAATATATTTTTATTCAACCCCTGGTAAACACTGAAGGCTAAACTCCTCCAAAGAGAAAATGAAGCATATCTTGACGGAGACATGCACAGAATTATACTGCAGGAGGTTCTGGAACTT